GTGGGTGGGTGGGCAGGCTCCGGCCTGGGGTCTCGGCCAGCTGTGCTGCAGCCTGGGGGCTGGCTCCCTGGGGAAGCACAGGGACTCTGGTGGGGCCAGGGCATTGTTGGGTTGAACTTTGTCCAGTGGCCCAGGAGCTCAGCTCCATGCGCCTGCACATCTGGTTCTGTGTATTTGTCTGCCTCTGTCAGATTCTGTGCGCACATGTGCCTGGTTCTGGATGTGTGTGCGCGTGTGTCTGTTCTGGTTCTCTGTGTTTGTGCACATTATTCTGTGTGTGTGTGTCTGATTCTCTCTGCTCTTCTTTTTCTTTCTTTCTCTCTCTCTCTCTCTCTCTCTCTCATTACAACATGCTCAACAAAAAAGGAATACACAGCAACAAAGGCAACATCTATGATTATTAAATATACCACTATGCAGAATATGTAGTGCATCCTGCCATGTACTGCCCCCACCCTCATTTTGTGTTTCTGGCATGCCGGTACTCTGGCACCTTCCAATGTAGACATTGTGGTTTTTTCAGCGCACGGGCCAAAAAAGGTTGCCTACCCCTGCTTTGGTGTTAGAGCATAAAAGGGGCATCCTCCCACCTAGAAACAGCTTGGTAGTTGCATCAAAGGTATGGTGTGCAAGTCAGTTGGGCGGGCTGATGTTGTGGTCAGCTTCAAGACAGCCAGCCCGCTGTCATACTGCTGAATTTTTAAGGTGGAACAAATGTTGTATTTTTCTGAATAATTTTTAAAACTGTATTTAGATTGTGGGCTTTTGCTATTTGATTGCGTTGTTCTAGATATGAGATTTTCACATGTTCAGATATTAAATATGACTTCATTTTGGTAAGAGATGTGCTTATTTTTAATATTAATCAGAAACGCTAATGTAATAGAAAACAACACAACAAAAGTATAATTAAGATACCTTGTAGAACAGTCTTGGTCCGTAACTTAGAGCCGTTTCTGCATATATGTATTTGCAAAGCGTTACTAATAATTAAAACAAGGTAAGTAGATTTATGCACATGCGGATACTTGCACCCTTGCTGTCTACAGTAATTTAAAAGGTATTTGAACATAAATTTGCTTCACTTTCAAGTTTGTCCTTCAGCTCAAAATGCTGTTTGCATAATTTATACACGTATAAGCTCAGGGATGGAGCTAGCAGGTTCACTCTCCCTGGAGGGAGACTGCCAAGGGAAGCAACCCAGCCTTAGAGGGTTGCCCAGAGACATTTAATTCCCTGCTTTGCTGCCTATAAGGACTGAGGCTCCAGGAGCGTACAAGGTAACTAGGGCTAGGAGGCAGCAATCTACTTATTTAATTCAGCCCTGTAAATGTAACATGGTATTCATGATGACATAAAATACAAAGTAATAAAACTATGTTAAGGCCAAGGTTGAAGTCTCAGTCTGCAGTGTGAGGACTGCATTCCATATTATTGGTTTATGTGATCAAATTAAAAATGCAGTTGGAAGCTTAATGTAACGGGGTAACTGGCAGAAATATTAAGACTTGTTTATGAGGAAGCATCATTTAAAATTGTGTGCATGTTTCTAGTGCTGTACCTCCAAGTCGTCTTATTAGAATCCTCCAACTGGAGGACCCTGAAAGAAGCCAAAACCCGAGTTACCAAAATGGACATCAAGAAGAAGACTGAAATAAAAGCACTATGGTACCTTAATTTTCCACGGTTTTGTGATATTTTATACTATATGTATAATTATGTCTATAATAATATTTACTTATTATTGTTCATTAAGAGGAAAATGTAATCAGATGATATGCCTGACAAAGGAAGATGTTCCTTTTAGATTTTCTGCAAAAGTACATGTTTGTACAAACCTCAAATGTAAATACAGCACAAAATTTTTAAAAAATTAAGTTTCTGTTAGAAAAACTAAAACATTAATTTTGACTGCCTTTTTAATTGTCAACTATTGATGTTTAAAAGAAGCTAATATATTTTCTGGCTTTCTGAAAAAAATTGTGTATAATTAAATACAAAAAATATTTTAATAAACTCTAAGAATTGATTTGGCTAGTAATGTGCTAAATAAACAAAGTAAAATGTGAAAGTGGGTCTACAGGTACTCTTAACGTTTACACTTACACTGTTTTACAGGTTTTTTTAAGGGCTGTATACTAAAAACTGCATCTTTGAAGCCTGTTAGCGCTGCTGTTCTGTGCATCAAATATGGTATTATCATGATATTAGGCAGTATTTCTGATTTATTTAGCAGTGTTGATACCTGCAATATGCCTTGGAAACGCATTTTCTTAGGGACTGAACAAGTGATAAATGAAAAGTTGAACAAAAATGCACAGCTCTTGTAAAAACTGTCTTTTCCCCGGCACTACTGAATGTTGAAGGTGTATAAATATGTTTACTTGAGTCATATTTTGATGGTGTAACTATATCAGAAAAGATTATTGACTAATAGCTGGAGTTCTTCAAAATACGTTGTCCATATACATGCACACCCATGTATAGATGGGCTTAGCCCCTGAGCCTTTCACCATACACCTTTTTTTTTTTTTAACCTTACCAGTATCCCCACACACTGCTCCAGCTCCTCTTCTCAGACTACCCCTACGCATAAGGGATAAAGGGCAAAACATCCATCCCTGCTTCTCAGTTTCCTTTAACTTCAGAGAAGCTGACTCTCAGAAAGAGAAAAGAAGGAAGGTGGAGTTCAGAAGTGTGCATAGACAACCATGAATGACTCGTGCCTCCTGAGACAGGGGCGCACAATTTGTGGTCGGCAGCAGGGTGGCAAGCAGCAACTGCCTGCAGAAGCTCGTGGCAGTGGGGGGTGGGGCAGTTGGCAACCACCCACAGAAGAAAGCGGCCAATCTCAGAGGGGGCGCACACCTTCCCTATGAGTCACTTATGTGGACAACACATCTTGAAGAATTACCGGTAAATAACTTCCTTTCCTCTTAAGTTGTCCACACATGTTAGGGTAGCTTGTAACATTTATGCTTTAAGTTGCGCCTGCTTGGGTGGTGAACTATAGTATTGTTTGTATTTTTCTTTTATATTTAGCCTTATTTAACCATTGCTTAAGTTTTTGTATGTTATTATTTCATTATTATTTGAACCTTTTTCTATTAGCTAGCTTTGAACTGTTTTCAGACAGCTCATAGCCTTGAGCTCACTTACACACTTATTTCTTTCCTTTTTTATCACTGTGAGAATTCTTCTAATATAACATAGCAATAACCTTGTTACCAGCTCAAATTAATTGAAACTGGCACTAACTGACTGAATGAGAGGGATGAAATGATTATCCCATGGACCTCACTCTTGGCCTGTGTGAATGATAGATAGTAAGAGGAGACCAGCAGACAATGCCCAAATCAAGACACCAGTAAAGGACCAAATTAAGAGATGTGCATGTGATGCATCTGTTGAAAAAGGGAATATACTGACAGGATAAGATATGGATGGTATGCTGACCACAGGGAACCAATCAGTGGTACCCAGAAACAAAGAGTTATCAGAGGAGTGAAGTTGAAAAAAAGCATAAAGGGGGGCAACAAGAAAATGAACTGTGTGTCGTCATACATCCAGGAAACAACATCTCTGGATTGTGCCAGTCACCGACACACCCTGTACTTTCAGATTATCTGACTGGCTGTTAGACCCTGAAGTGGAGTTTAACCATCTGGAAATTGCATGAGACCATTGTACTGCGTGTTTTCCTCTCCCTATATATAGAAACTGCTAAGCTAACATTAGTTGTATCAATAAAGTTAGACTTTGGTTAAGTTCAGCTGATACTTCATGTTCATTTTCTGCATTAATTGTGCTTAAACGATCCCTCAGCACCATCTGGAGGGCAGTGGTGGTAACACATGTTGTCATATGTGGATGACTTGAAAGCAGTGCCCATAACACTTAGAGATGAGACTTGGTCTCCTCAGGTAAAGATCAACTGGAGTACTACTCTGTTGAATGGATGCAGGTGTTGCGGTAGATGTTGTCTTTCTGGACTTCAGGAAGGTCCTTGACACTGTCTCCCACCCCATTCTCATTAGAAAGCTAGGCGACTGTGGCATTGATGCCTACAGTCAGATGGATAACAAATTGGCTGAGGGGCCGCACTCAGAGAATGGTGTTGGATGGATCATATTTGACCTGGAGGGATGTGAGCAGTGGAGTCCTTCAGGGCTCGGTCCAGGAAGTGGATCTCACGTTTTTCTCGCTTGCCATGACTTTGATTACCTTTTATACTCCCGGGAGGCAGTGCCCACGGTAATCCTGCCTGGTCTTGATCCCTGTGTCTTCTGTGGGGCTCCAAACCTACCCTTTACCCCAGCCTAATCTCTCCAGATGGCGTTTTACAATGTTCTTTCGCAGCCAAGTGTAGGACATGCAAGCTCGCAGAGCTAAAATGGCCTGCCCACTTCAGTCAGAACAATTCCTGTCTAGTACCAAGTGTGCTCTGAGTGTCAGCAACAGGCTCAAAAAGGGGAAGTCCCAGGCACAGAGAGGGAAGTATAAATAACTGCGAGCAGTCCACATCCACCCCAAAATGCAAATCAACATTAGCATGCCAAAAGACATCCGGTAAGCTACTGACTGGCCACAATTTGCCGCATAGGCGGTGCCAGAATGAGCTAGTGATTGGCCATAATTTGCCGCATAGGCAGAGCCAAAACAACCTAATAAATACCCGCGAGCACAAACCTTAGTCGGAGGAGTTTCACTCTTCAGAAACCAAGCACTCCGAAAAGGAACAGGGCCTGATCAACCCAAGTTCGCCTCCCCTCGAGCTAATGCACCGAGCCAAGCTGTTTTGTGTCTGACTGCAGCGGCACCCGTACTGGAATGTATCTCGTCTTGTTATTATGGTATATTGTAAGTAGTTAACCCAATTCTACTTAATAATTTTGTTATATATCATAGTTAATAGTTAATTGTTTAAGCTTAGTTTGATGCAACCATTCATACATATGTTAACGTGTGTCAACTACGAACAAGTAATCCAGTTAATAAAAATAAGTTAAGTTTAAGCTAATTGGCTTATTAGCAGAAGTAATATTAAAGAAACACCCCCCCAGCCAGGCCCATCCTAACGGACCCCTGCCCTTTAGGCCATTTGTGAACAACATGGCGTCACGAACAGGATCTGGGTGCCCCTGGCTAGATGGCAGTTGGTCAGTCCTAATTGATGACGATTTGTAGGGTCATCTGACTTACCATCAAGCCGCAGTTCTCTCAGGCCCGTCCCTGGTCGCCATCGAGGGCCTTTGTAATCTTAAGGGCGGCCAGAAGCAATGGTCAGTTTGTCTGGCATCACCGTCGTGGGGATGCGTCCGCACCGACGGCTTTATTCTGACCTGCGGACAACAGCCTTTCCCCCTCCCTCAAAGGAGTCCGGAAGCCCCTCAATACGGAAGCCTGCCCAAAATCAGCCCAAAAGGCCTGCTTAAACTTGTGCAAAAAGGCCGGGGTGGCCCTACCACCTGATCGGGCAAACCCCCCAACTCTATTGCCCCGCGGCCAAGCCCACCAACTTACCACCCAACTGGCGGATGACCTCTACGCCTCCCATACAGAGGGAAAGCTCACCACACCCTATGACCCGAAGAAGCTCCTCGTACCCCTCCTCCAAAACTTTTTCCATGTCACACGACGGCTGGAGGAGTCAGAGACACTGGTCCGGACCCTGCTCCAGAAAGCCCTCGATGATTCCACCAACGCACCCTCACCAAGCCAAGAGGCCCGGGACAAAAAAACCGAGTCCCCACCGCCGTACGCCTCAGAAACCCCTTCGGCACCCCCTCTACTCATGTCATCACCAGGTACTCTGACTGCCGAGGCGCTCCCAGTCCAAGTCACCAAGTATACCACTGATCATGAAGGGAACACGACGGCTTCCACAGTCCACCGTACCCGCACCCGTGCCGAAGTGACCGAACTGATCGGGAGGACAAAAAGACAGCCAACCGAACCTATCGTTGCTTGGATAGGCCGCTTGCTTTTTGAAGCGGGAGGGGAGACACTAGATAGGGAAGAATCCAAAACACTTTGCCGCACCGTCATGTGGCATGGAGGGGCTGGATCAGCAGTGTTAGTCAACAAAAACAACTACTGGCCCATCCCTCTACCAGCACTAGCCATCATGTTAACCGGCACCAACCTCCAGGTATTTACCCAGCACCCCAGCGGGTCCGTTACTGGAGCTGACCTAATTAATATGGTCGCCGGCTTTTTGTATGTCATGTGGGACGCCCGAGAAAACCCCCGTGGCTTTACACCAGCGCAACACACGGACAGGTACCCACAAAGGTTCCTGCAAGACCCCAGAACTGTACCCGTCACAACTATAGCTGTCCAAGGGGCGGTCGACGCGGCGGGGGGGACGGACAATCCAGCCATCACGTTATGGCTAAAAACGGCCGAAGGGAACAATGTCTCGACCCTTCTCAACCTACTACTGCAGTTACCCACTAACATCGCATCACCAGGTCTGAATAAAGGAAAAGTCGCAGTGGCTTCACCCCCGTACCCACGTCCACACGACCCGCCTTATCCCAGGCCAGGGCGGGAGCAGTTGCAACCAGCCCACTATCCCGAGCGTACCCACCTAGAGCAGGCTGTATTCAGATTTTTAATCAACCAAGGGGGCCTAACGAAAGCCGAAGCCCGAAAATTAACCTCGGAAGAACAGTTAATCTTAGCAAAAGCTGAGGGCTTCAAGTTCGACGAGAAACGAAAAAACTAACGCGGGCTGCCTTCAGGGCTGCAGACCATGCATCAGACACTCGCCCCTTCATCCAGCTACAGGTCGCGGGGCGCCCCTTTTCCTTCCTCCTAGATACCGGAGCCCAAATCAGCATTATCACGTTAGCCGTGCCACACGACCCCACAAACCAGTCCATGTGGGTCCAAGGACTCAATGCAGAAAGAAAAGTGACAGTCGCCCAT